CAGTCAGAGTCCGGGATTGAGCGCTATGGTGGGAAAGTGTTGAGTGTTTAAAAATGGGATTCAGCAGAGCTGTAGGATGGATTTACTTCAGGGCACCCAAAGTTAACCCTTTTAGTGAGATAAAAAGAAATCCAAAGCCTAGTAGATCAAACACTATATCCTGTGGTTTAATTTCCAGCAACTAGAGAAAGTTGTGGTGGCAAGATATGTACTCCAAAATGCTAAGGTACTCCTGACGTTGCAACACTGTGGTTTGCAACTCACTTTATTGGTCTCCTGGTCTTTGTTAATTGCTGTAAAATTCCTTGGACATTTCATGTTCCTGGTTTCTCCACTTTTCTGTGGTCTCCACTGAACTTTCAGCTCCACATTTACAGCTTTGTATACCACCATCACAGCACCAAACTGCCTGGCTTCCCAATCTTTTCTTCTGAAATCTTGGTGGAAACCTCCCTGACAGCACAACTTTCACCATCTGTATACCTGTGAAATCAGTAAAGCGTGGATGAAGCACTAGCAAGGCCCCTTTAAAACATGATTACATAGGCATCTGTTTGCCTGAATGGCCTATCACAGTGAATGAAACACTGGGGATCCAAATGATTAGATGGTCATTCTCAAGCAGCAACTTTCCAAAGCAAAGATTTTCACCTCAAGACCTTTGAGACTGCAAAGGGTGGGACTGTGCTTATTTCCAGGATGCCTCTAAGATATTCTTCTCATTGAACTGATGAAAAGTACTGGGCTACTTTCTAAAGCTTATTTTGTGAGCAATCAAACTCTCCTCTGCCAAAATCTTACAAGTCATACAGTCTTGAGGAATCCGAAAAGTTTTAAAACACTCAGTTGTGCTTTTTCTCTTGATTAATGCCCCCCCAATCGTGCCCATGCTACAGCTTATATGTTGGTATTCCTTGCAATTACTTTCAACAGATTAGTCCGCTCCCCTTAATCTCAGTCTCCTCCAAAGTTTTAGGATGAGCAAATGCAACACATTCTCTGCTAGAGCATAACACAATGGTCTCAAGTCTAAGTGCAACACAGACCTTGTTTCCAACAGATATCTCCTGAATCTGGTCTTTACATTCTGTATTTTATCAAGATTCTGGTCTGACTGTAATTTTCCATCAGGATCAGCTAAATGCACACTAAAGTTTCCTCTAGCCAGCATCTCCCAACCTTTCCAAAATTCTCCCATAAACAAATACCAAAAACATCACAAGAATACGGGCAGACCTACTACAAATACCATCACACTCCTGGAACCAAAATCTGTCATTTTTACTTTCTTGTAGCTGAGACAAAATATATGACACCCACAATTTAAAGGTAGAGAGGATTATTTTGTCTCCAAATTTTAGTCCAAGACAATTGGCTCCAAGGTAGGAAGCACAAACCAGAGGTGCCTGAAGAAGGAAAGCTGCTCACGCCATGGCATCCAGTGAGCAGAGAGAAGCAAATAGGCAAGCAAGCATACATACTTTTTCAAGTCATTTACATAGTGAGCCACCTCTGCCAATAATCCACTTCCTGATAGTAAGTAGCTATATTCACCCCCATTATTTAATCACTATCCAAAGACTCACTTGGGAATGTATGAGGCATTTTGGAGACAGTCTTTTTTTTTTTTTTTTTTTTTTTTTTTTTGGTTTTTCTCCGGTACCAGGAACCGAACTCACCACCTTGCGCTTGCCAGGCAAGCGCTTTGCCGCTGAGCTAAATCCCCAGCCCCTTGGAGACAGTCTTAATCCAAACAATAACAAATCTCATTTACAAGAGCCTAAAAACTGACACTCAGCAATGCCATAATATAAATTCTTAACTGTACATGATAGATTTTCTGGAATAGAATGTATATTTATTCATATATAAGGCAGTAAATATAAATGAGTGACAATTTATGATAACAATGGAAATAAACTAGAAATAAATAACAAAAGGAAAACAATACCTAGAGAGTTGTGAAAATTATGAAATTTACACATACAGGGCCAAGAACCAAAGAAGGAACCACATGAGAGATTCTGAAAACATCCTAAGTATAAAGAAAAGCACAACACAACAAAATTTGGGATTCAGACAGAGTACAATTGAGAGGTAAATTTATCACTGTAAACATATTACTAAGAAGTATTTGACCAGCAATTTAATTATAAATCTTAAGAAACTGAGGAAGCAAGACTAACCTTATTCTTGAAAATGATTAAGAGACCAGTGAAATATGAAACAGTAAACAACAGATTAAAAAATCAATGTAGCCAAAATTTGGCTCATTAAATACATATACAAAATTTTAAAAACTTCATCTACATTGACTAAAGAAAGAAGAGAAAACTAAAATTATTAAAATAGTATAAAAGAAGAAATCGAAGAGATATCTATAAATAACTAAATGCCAAAAAATTGGGTATCACGTGAAATCAGCTACTTTCTATAACATAAAAACTGATTAAACTGGGGCTGGGGATTTAGCTCAGTGGCAAAAGCGCCTGCCTGGCAAGCGCAAGGTCATGAGTTCGGTTCCCGGTACGGGAGAAAAACCAAAAAAAAAAAAAAAAAAACTGATTAAACTGATTAAAAATGCAATAGAAAATCTAACAATATGTATAGCCACTAAAGAGATTAAGTCATTGAATAGTAACTTTCCAATAAAGCAAAACAAAGGACTAGATAGCTTCACTGGTGAAATTATTTATTTATTTATTTATTTTTTAGTACTGAGAATTGAACTCAGGACCTCACACTTGCCAGGCAGGTGCTGTGTGGCTGAGCTGTATCCCCCACCCCACTGGTGAATTTTAATAAACTTTTAAAAAGTATTTTTTTAAAAATCTTTCCAAAGCACATTGAAGATAAGAATTCATTACCTAACTCATTTTAAGGTCAAATATATAACAATTCCATGTCCACAAAAAGACACTGAAAAAGACAAATAAACTATAAATCAGTATTCCTTATGAATGTTTTATACACATACCTTCTACAAAATAGCAGCAAACTTAGCTCAGCACTACATTAAAATAATTATTCCTTTTAACCAGGTAGAATTCATCCAAATAATGCAAGGATAGTTATCATATACAAATCAGTAAACATGATACTTCAACGGAATAAGAGAAAAATCGACACGAAATATACAATGATAACATCTGAAATGATAGCAAAAGAGCATTTAATCAAATCCCACAGATTTTTAAGAGATAAACATTCAATATACTAGAAATATAAAATTCCTAAAGATGATAAATTCCATATGCTGTGTGAGCAACACACAGATAACATGATACAACATAGTTAGAAACTAATATTTTTTCCGTAATGTCAGAAAAACAATACAATGATGACATTTTTACCACTTCTATCCAACAGAGTGGAAATTTTACACAGAAAAATTTGGCAGAATAACATTAAAAATGCTTTTAAACTGTAAAGGAAAAGTCACACTTATCTCTGTTTACAAACCATGTGATCTTACACCAGGAAAACCCTCAGACACACACACACACACACACACACACACACACATGAGCTATTCAGTTCAGCAAGAAGCTAGACTAGAATTCAATGTGCAAATATCAGTTGACATATGACTTTTCAATATGAATCTGAAAATGATTTTGAAAAAGCAATTAAATTTAGAATAGCATCAAAAAGAAAAAAATAATAAGGAATAAATATAAACCAGGAGAAAAAGGATTTACACCTAGTAAATTAAAATATTACTAAATAAAACTCTACATAAAAAATGTAATTAATATATATGAAATGGAATACATGGTATTGTGAGGACAATACTACACAACATGGTATAGAAATTCAATACATTAGTTATTAAAATATTTATGATATTTATAAGTGAAATGGAAAATCTATGTGAAATCCATAAAGAATTTCTAGGAATACTAAATAGCTCAACCAATTCTATATAAGCAAAACAAAGGTGAAGGATTCACCCTTTCCAACTTCAAATTTTACAAAGCTTCTTTGACCAAAATACTGTGGCAGTATCATAAAGATATGCAGATATTTCCAGAACAAATGCATATATGTACAATTGATTATCAACAAGAGTAATCAAGATCCTACATGAGCAAAGAAACTTCTTCAGGAAATGGTGTCAGGAAAACTGGTTATCTATTTGTTTTGTTTTGTTTTTTTGTTTTTCTTCCAGTACCAGGAATCGAACTCACGACCTTGCACTTGCCAGGCAGGCGCTGTGCCACTGAGCTAAACCCCCAGCCCAGAAAACTGGTTATCTAAATGTGATGAAAATGAAGTTGGAGAATTTCCATGTACCTTATACAAAAATAATCTCAAGATAGATCAAACACCTAAACTTAGGAGTTAACACCATCTCACTTTGGAAGAAAACATAGGAAAATCTTCATAATTTAAAATGTACTAATAGTTGTTTAAATATGATATTAAACACACAAATAAAAATTGAAAAGATAAACTTTATTAAAATTAAATATTGGCATAAAAATTAATATAGTGAAAAAGTAATCAACAAGAGGAAAGAAAACTAACATGTGTGACAGTAGTTTCATTTCCAGACCATGGCCCAAACAGCCTGACCGCTAAAGAACAAACGATCCAATAAAATAATGAGCCAATCAGTGACCAGACATCTCTCCAAATAGGACTGAAGTAGCAAACAACCGTATAAAATGATGCAGAACATAACTAATTATCAGACAATTGCAAATCTAAATCTCAATGAGATACCATTTCATGCAGATTAAAATGTCTATCATTCATAAATCAAAATAATAACTGTTCCTAAGGATATGAATAAAATGGACTCATTTATGTTGGTAAGAATGTAAAAAGGCTAACTCCTAGAAAAACATTTTGACAGTCCTAAAACATTTAAAAGAAATAGCGTGTGACCCAGAAATTCTCTTCCTAGGTACATACTCACAACTGCGGAGCGACACAAAACAGTACTTGTACAACGTTTCTGGAAGGGTCAACTAAAATAAAGTGAAACCTGAAGTGGGACAGCTCTTTTATTGACCGTCAGACTGACATGCGAGGGACGATCTTATTTCCTGCTGCTACTCCTATAACAGATGTTTCAAGATGCCCGCCATCTAGTGTTCAGCACCGTTTAGAAGCACTTTCTCTGTACCACAAATTTCCCATATTCTTTGAAATCCTCAGAGGTTACCCACAGTTGCTTGAAACTGCTCATAGAGGCCATGATGGATGCGCCAATCCATGCAGAGAAACATCTATCAGGAGAAGCCGTGATCTTGATTGGGGTTCCACCAGAAGCTAGCTGTTCCAGCTCTTCCATGAGCCTTTCTTCCAACCCAGGGAAAAGTGTGGAGCCCCCGGAGAGCACAACATCAGCAAAAAGGCTTTTCTGGATGTCCATATCACACTTCATGATGCTGCTGCAGACCATTTTTGAGAGTCCGGGGTCCTGAATGCCAAGCTGATCTGGAGAAAAAAGTACCTCAGGCACCTGGCACAGATGATCCCCAATGTTGATTATATTCCCATCTGGCAGTGTGTACTCCGTCGTGTCCTCCTGCCGTCCCTTGCGTGGCTCTTTCTCTGGCTCCAAGGAGACGTAGCAAAGGCTCTCTTTGATTTCATCCACCACAGCCTTGTTGAGGATGCAAGGATAGGTACATCCTCTGGCTAGGAGGAGCCTGATGAGATGTTCTGTGATGTCCCTCCCTGCCACATAAAGCTTGGTGATGGCATGAGACAGGGAGTAACCCTCAAAGACGGGCACGGTGCAAGTGACCCCATCTCCACTGTCCACCACCAGGCCAGTGACAGAGGCACAGGTATAGAGTGCTGCCACTGCATGGTTGCACAGGTAAAAAGCAGGCACATTGAATTTCTCAAACATGATTTCGGCGGTCTTCTCTCTGGTCTCTCTTGGGTTCAAGGAGGGTTCAGTCATCAGAACTGGCTGTTCACTCGGTTTAACTCCGAGTTCCCACTCGAAAAGATGTTTCCAGAGTTTCTCCATGTCATCCCATCTTGTTACCATCCCACGCTCAACAGGGTAATGCAAATACAAGGCATCATACTTGTCCTGGGCATCCTCTCCTACAAAGTATTTCTTCCGATTGGCCCTTTCTGAAGGTATACTGAATTTAGGGTGGCCAATGACAGAGTTGATAACATGGCTGGGTCCAACATAACCAGACAGTCCTGCTTTACAGAGTCCTGAACCATTGTCAAAAATAACTGGTGGACATTCCAGTTCATATGGAGTAGACATATCTGCAGCTGATCTTCAACATTTCACCAAAATAAAGAATTCAGCTGGGCCACTTTGGGAGTTAAAAGGTTTCTTCCCTGGGAGTGTTAAAGCCTCAGGATTCTGAAGTTCTCAAGTTGCTGACCTGGTGAAGTTAGCAGGCTGGCCCCAAGCCACCAGAGCACGGTGTCCTCAGCCCATGAATGCGGTCTCCCTTCTGGAGGCTTAGGTCCTGCTGACGCTATTTCAATGCTGGCTGCCTGGGATGTCACAATGTAACCAAGGAGACAATTGTCTCCAGTATCAGAGGACTGGGGCCCCTGAGACAGCCTTACTCCCTACTTAAAAGCAGGGAAGGGCACACTATCCCTACACACAGCTGTGACTGATCATAGAAACCAAGGAGAGACCTACTTTTAGAGCAAGGTGAAGCTATTTGTCCCACAGAGCCATCCCCTCTGTTCTGGCTTTATTGGAGAATTCTAGTAAGCGATGTAAAAAAGCAATAATACCTGCTTTACACATAAATGTATAATGACAAGAAATGCTTCTCAATTGACTTTGGAAAAAAATTATCATGACACTATACATTAAGAAAAAAATTATGAAAAAAGTATATTAAAATGCATATTCCATGAACATAGCATCATAATAACCTTGATATAAAACAAATATATTTAATAAACAAGTGATGTATGATTGGTATGTAATCACAGCTTTATTATCAGTCTAAAAAAGTAACAAAGATAATACATAGCATTCTCCCTCTAAAGACAATTAGAATAGTTACAGTTCATAAGCAACAAATTTTCAGATGTTGATCACTTAATATGAATTCCTATGGAAACAGAAACAAAATTAGTCCTGTGACTGCCCAACCTTACTATTAGGAGTGAGTTTTTAGGCCAAAGAGCAGAGAGGTAATGTCTAGTTAGAAACTAACTGTGTTGCCAACTCAAGGTCCAAGACTTTGAATTTGAGAGAGCACAAAGTGTCTGGAATTATTGGAGGAAATACTGAAATAATTATAACAGCTGGCTAAACAGAAAGTTCTGAAAAATTCACAAAGTTGTGAATGAGTACTAAACTGTACATATGTGTGAAGTGAATATAAAGGATCAAAAAGAACTACTGTAAGATTTTCAGAAAATGATCTCCAGATTTATACTAGTAAATTGAAAATATAAATAGCGGGATGACTTCCACATATTGTAGGGAGTTGATGGCATTCATTGAAGAAGTGTATACAAGCTAGAGAATGATTTTTTTTAAAGACAAATTTAACCTGACCATTCATTGTATGTTTAGTACATTAAGATGTTTTAATAATACAAGCAAGAATATAGTCTACATTGCTTTATATCTTTAAAAGCTTATTAAGTAGGCATTAATGGCGATTTTGAGTACCTGAAAGGGAAATTATGAAGATGTCTTTGATCTCATGAAATGGTAAAAAATATTAATAAACACATCTGTTCCCTATCTTTTGCTTTGCTCTTTATTTATACTTTGAGTTTCTCATATAAGAGAAATCATGTAAACATAGTTCTGGAAGCATTAGCCAGAGCAATTAGACAAGAGAGGGAAACAAAAGGAATTAGGGTAGGAAAGGAAGAAGTAAAATTATCACTGTTTGCAGATGACATGATACTTTACATGGAAGACTCCAAAAACTCCACAAGAAGACTCCTTGAATTAATCAACAAATTCAGCAGTGTAGCTGGATAAAAATTCAGCACCTAAAAATCAATGGTATTCCTATACACAAACAACAAACACACTGAGAGAGAAATTAAGGAAACCATATTTTTCACAATAACATCCAAGTAATTCAAATATTTAGGAATCAATCTAAAAAGGGAAGTAAAAGATCTATTCAATGAAAACTATAGTACTCTGAAATAAGAAATTGAACAGGATTTCAACAAATGGAAAAAAATTCCTTGCTCATGGAGAGGAAGAACGAACATTGTGAAAATGACCATACTCCCAAAATTGTGGTACAGATTCAATGCAATTCCCATTAAACTACCATGAGAATACCTCACAGATCTAGAGAAAACATTCCTTAAATTTATCTTGAACTAGAGGAGACCCAGAATAGCAAAAGCAATCCTGGGCAACAAAGACAAGTTAGGTGGAATCACAGTCCCTGACCTGAAATTATACTACAAAGCTACTGTCATAAAATAAATATAGTACTGGCTAAAAAAACAGACCAGAGGATCAATGGAACAGACTAGAAGAAACAGACACAACCTCAAACACACTCAGCCACTTAATCTTTGATAAAGGGGCCAAAAAACCTCACTGGAAGAATTATAGCCTCTTCAATAAATGGTGTTGGAAGAATTGGCTTGCCATCTGCCAAAGACTGAAAATAGACCCAAGTCTATCACCATGCACCAAACTCAAGGCAAAATGGTTCACAGATCTCAATATTAAAACAGAAACACTAAATCTACTGGAAGAGAAAGTAGATAAAAACCTTGAAGACATAGGAGTAGGCAGAGTTCATGAACAAAAACCAAACCACAAGGGAAATACTTCAAAGAATCAACAAATGGGATATCATCCTACTGAAAAGTTTCTGCACATTTAAAGAATTCGCCAGCAGAGTAAAAAGAAAACCTACAAACTGGGAAAAAGCTTTAGCTGACTCTCCCTAGGACAAAGGCCTTCTATCTAGAACATATAACGAATTTAAAAACATCAGCCCCTCCAAATTCAAAGATCCAATCCAAAAAAGGGCAGCTGAGATGAATACACACTTCTCAGATAAAGAAATACAAATGGTAAATAAATACATGAGAAAATGTTCAACGTTATTAGTCATTTGAGAAATGCAAATTAAAACGATATTGAGATTTCATCTCACCCCCGTAAGAATGGCTATCATTAAGAAATCAACAGGGGCTGGGGATTTAGCTCAGCAGCAAAAGCGCCTGCCTGGCAAGCGCAAGGTCGTGAGTTCGGTTCCTGGTACCGGAGAAAAACAAAAACAAAAACAAAAACAAAAAAACAAAAACAAAAAAAAATTAAGAAATCAACAAATAACAAATACTGGCAAGGCTGTGGAGAAATAGGAATTCTTCTCCGCTGCTGGTGGGAAAGCAGACTGGTGAAACCACTGTGGAAATCAATTTGGAGATTCTTCAGCAAACTAGGTCTAGAGGTTCCATTCAACCCAGCTATTCCCCTTCTGGGTATTTTCCCAGAAGATCTGAAAACATCATATCACAGAGGTATATGTTCACCCATGTTCATAGCAGCACAATTTGTAATTGCTAAATTGTGGAAGCAGCCCAAATGTCCACCTACTGAGGAATGGATAAAAAAAATGTGGTGCTTTTTTGTAATGGAATATTACTCAGATATAAAGAAAGATAAACTCGAGGCTTTTATAGGTAAATGGTCACAACTAGACACCATACTCATAAGTACTATAACTATGTTAGCTATCCTGTATATACATACATACATAATTTCACCTTCTTCCTTTTCTCTTCTCCCTCACCCCAGTTGTTCTTTACTTTTGAGCATTTTCCTTTCATTTCACAATGTCTGTCATATCTCCTAATTTTTACTCACTCTTTCAGGTTCTTACACTAGTAAGACAATACGTTGCTTACACATGGAGGTCTGGTTTATTTCACTTATGAGTGATTTTGCAGGAGATTATCATTAAGGGCACCAGACTAATTGAGCGGAGGAAATTTCATTGCAGTGCAGCATTCAGGTTGTAATCTGGACAATTATTGCTGCAATGAGCTCTACTTATCGTGAGAATCAGGACCAAAAAGGAAAGGTGAATAACTTGAAAATTTTTATTGGAGTGTACAAATGAAGCACCTATAATATAGAAACCAGTGAAGTAAGAGCAAAGGATGGCACGGTTGCTAAAAAGAGAAACTAAGTACTTTGCTTCAGGATAATAGGGAAGACATCTTGAGAGCATGTGAAGAATCAGAAAGACCTGAGCATTTTTAGGCTTAAGAGTGTGAAGGAGCATTTGGTTTGAGAAGAGGGCCCCAGGGCACCCTGTTCTTAAAGCACCACCTAGGGAATTTCTCCCTCTGGATTCAGGACAGTGTTCAATCAGCCAAATACTCATAGGCCTCTGAAACCATGATCAATATAGCCTAGCTACCATATGAAACAGCTACCATAACTTCCATTATTCCACATTTCATCTATGTGGTTTTAGTTTTATAGGCTGAAAAATAAAAGACTTTTGGGGTCAGGGAGGCTTTCATCAAGATTTTAGATGAAGGTCTGGGTGAACAGGCTTGTGCTCTTGTGAGTGGTGTGCATAAAATTGTGAGAGTGAAGTCATAAGTTCAGTGGAGGCATCGCAATCCCTTGAAGCTCTATTACAAAGCTACTGTGATAAAATCAGCATGGTACACGGAAAAGATAGATCAGAGGACCAGTGGAAAAGATTAAAAAATGCACACACCACTATAAACACACTCAGCCAACCTATATTGACAAAGTGGCCAAACATGTTCATTGGAAGAAAGATAGCATCTTTAGTAAATGTTGTGGGAAAAACTGTCTTCCCACACGCCAGAGACCAAAATTAGACCCATGTCTATCTCCATGCACTAAACTAAAATCAAAATGAAACAAAGATCTAAATACTAATACTGAAACACTAAATCTACTTAAAACGAATGTAACTAGAAATCATGAAGACATAGGTGTAGGCAAAGACTTCATGAATAAAACCCAGATTGCCCGAAAACTACTTCAAAGAATCAACAACTGTAACTTCATCTTTTATAAAACATTTTCATAGAAAAAGAAATCACCAAAAGAGTGAGAAGCTCACTAACAGAGTGGGAAAAATTAGCCAACTGTCCCTCAGACAAAGGACTTCTATCTAGAACACACAAAGAATTGAAAAAAAAAAACCTCAGATGCCCCCAAATTCAATGAGCCAATGAAAAATTGCACATCTGCCATGAATACACACTTTTCAGATGAAGAAAAAAATGGCAAATAAATACATGAGAAAATGTTCAACATCACTGGTCATTTGAGAGATGCAAATTAAAACAACACTGACATTCCATCTCACCCCAGAAAGAATGGCTATCATCAAATAATCAAGCAATAACAAATGCTAGAGGGGTGGTGAGGAAAAAGTAACCCTTGTTCACTGTTGGTGGGTGTGTAGACTGGTATAACCATTGTGGAAA